ATATATATATATATATATATATATATATATATATATATATATATATATATATATATATATATATATATATATGTATGTATGTATAATTTTCCTAAAACTAATCAAGCCACCATTAGGGCCTGTGAAAAATGACTTAACACTCCAGGAAATGGAAAAAGATGTAAAATTACCATTCTCAACTGGCAGCTACTCACACACTACATAAATCCTCTTTCAATTTTCCAGAACAATTAGGTTGTGGGCATCTTTTGAAGTATTCTTATCTTCTTTAGTCTTTTTGAGTTCGTTTTCATTAGGTTTGCTTTTTTTTCCTTCCTCTTTCCTTCTTTCTTTTTCCCCTTCAAGGACAAGGGTTTCTGAAATACATTTTTTATCAGTATTTTTCATTGTCCTGTAATACAGTAAATTTTGTGTTAACTTAAGAAAACTAGAAATCTATGTTATTTCTTTTATTTTTGCATGGATCTATCCTGACCTTTTGGGAAAACATAAACTATAAGTATCGGTTTATTGCACATAAAACAACCCAATCAGGTAAAAACAAAAATGGTCCAGGTGTGACTTTAATCTTATTTTACTGAGCTTCAGGACAAAGTCAAGGTAAGAGTTTGTGCAAAGCTCTATTAAAGAAAGAAAAAAGACTACAGCATTCATTTGGTTTGCAAACTCTGATATTGTAAATTGTTCGCTGAAGAAGATGGGGTTTCTGGTTATGAGAAGAACAATTACATGCAACTCTTTAGAAATATTAATGACACTGGAAATCTTTTCTAACCCATTTACATTTACAAGGTTGTGTGATAAAAGTGGAACGTTTTTTTCCACTAGGCAATTTTTAAAATGAGCTTTGTCATAAGGTCAGTGGCTGTGTTGTTTGGAGCAGTGTCCCTCACCAAACAAAGTCTGCATGGCATAAACTGTAGAGGTGCCCTTGATCCAGAGATGAAGCATCAGTTGTGTAGTATTTGATTTAATGTAGCAGCTGATCTTGTTTGTTTAGCTTTCCGATTAGTCTGGACTTGGAAGGATTTGGTTTACACTGCTCTCTTTAATCAGGGATGCAGCTGGTCATTAAAAAAACAAAAAAAACAGACTTTTAATATGGCTGAAGATATTAGGTTTAGAGGAGGGAAATATTAGAAGCAGAGGATAGTGGATAAGATCTGACTCTATATTAAAAGCGGGGTCACATCGCCTACATCCGGATCGCTAATCTTCAACTTTTCTGTTTTTCTCTCTTATCACACTGGTAGCAGTGTGCATATGGTGAGTAGATGTCCCAATCTGTGTAGGACTGTGTGGTATTTTATTTTAACTGTATTCTGCTGTCCTACAAATTTAAACTATATGTAAAGTAAAAAAATATATATATATATATATATAATGAAAACTAAGGAAAAGTTATAACCTTATCCATTACAACAAAACATAGCAAACATCTATATATGTATTTAAATAACAATCACATTAATTCCTTGAGAACTTGTGAATGAATCCTTTCTCCAACACACCTAAATCATATTGCTGAATTTCCACATTAGCATGAAATTCAACTCTTTAAAGGACTGGAAATGAAACATTTATTAGATGCAGGTGTGTTGGAGGGGAGATACATCTAAAAGTTGCAGGTTTCTAGCTTTTGAGGACTGGAATTGGGCACCCATGATATAAGGAATCATCAATTGACTCAATTTTCATTTTAGTACTGTCATTTAGAAGAAATCCTTTTTCTCTTTACTGCATAAGTCAGTAAGTAAGTAGTGAGCCCATCCATTTAGCTGGCTCAAAAATACAAACTAATTTGACTGTGAAATTATTTGGTTACTAACAATACATTTTTCTCTTAAAGACCCAAATACTTTAAAGGTATAGTGGGGGATGTTCTTTTTCCAGGTGGATCATCAACATAAGTGCTCCTCCTAATTGTCAATCATATGTTTACATAAAGCCATCCTACTTGCTCGCCCCCAATTTCACTTACCGGTGGTGAGTCTGACATACCGGAAAAATTGCAAATCTTCTTTTGGAAAGTAAGCTTGTATGAGGGATGCAAACAACAACTTTTAAACAAAGTGTGCATGAGGAGAAATGGGCTTGTGCATGCTCTGGCACCCATTTAATAGGCGTTCCCTCTCAGGAGAGGGTACAGGGTTGTGCATGTGCATTTTTTTTTTTTTGTTTGTTTAAAATAGAGAGGGTGGGTTATTTCAAAAATTTGCGAAAATCCTCCACTATACTTTTAACTTCGCACACAGAATCACATTTTGTTTATGACCCACAAATGCAAAACAGGTTAATAATTAATTTGTTGGCATGAGGTTGTAGCAGAGAGAATTGTTAAGCAGCACAATGGGCAGCAAGTATTTAAAAAGTCAAGGTCATAAAAGCAAGTTGATAGATGAAAAGAGCAAAAGATACACAGAAACAAGGGTGTCAAAAGGAAGCCTCATAGAAAAAATGAAGTTTTGGGACTGATAACTGCTCCAAGATTGGCAGTGTTAAAATTCACCCCATTGGCCCCTGTCAGCTTTACTTATGGTAATTTTACTAAGCTGTGAGATAAGAATGATTATTTTGGTGCTACTGTGGTTTAAGAGGATGGCAATGGCAGTGCTCCATTCCTCTGTCACTGAATCAATCCTGACAGGCAAATCCACACCACACTGACCTCTTGGTCTATAATGAATGACATTGAAAAGGTAGTCCACAGTTTAGTGTAATTAATATCCAAAATACCACCAATATATCCAAGGTTTTAATGTGGGATGAACTGAATGGTGAAGTAGGAAAGATTTGGGGTGGTATAGAGCTGTGTTGTTCACTCCTGGTCCTCAAGGCACACTGCCCTGCATGTTTTAGATGTTTCCTAGCTTTCACATACCTGATATCAATTGATAGCATAATAACAGGCTCTGCTGAACTCCAATAATCTGAAACATCCAAAACATGCCTTGAGGATCAGGGTTGAAAAACAGTGGTAAAGAGGATAAGGTGGCATTGTGTTTAGTGCGTTTTACTCCTTGTTATAAAATTTTAGTAAAGACAGTTTTCTTTTTCACTGAAAAGATCTTTCTTAGCTAAATCTTGAATCAAAAGGTAATTCAATGCCGGTTCTTTTCTGGGGAGTCCTTTGGCTACTACATCTAACAGCAATAACGTTTTTTGTTTAAATGGTTTACAAGCTGTAATAATAAAGGAAAAAAAATCCAGTATTATAACCTCTCAAATGTACTACACAGCACAGCAAAAATCTGCACTTATTAGGTAATGGATATTTCTAATGTAGAATTCTAAAACCTGTGCGAGTGAAAACACGACACTTGACACAACGTCCTTTAAAATGCATAACAATGGAAAACCAGTTCATCCAGTTTCCACCTTTAACAGTGTTTTTGTATAAAGACTATGCAAATAAAACAACAGCTTATTAAATCACACATGCTGCAAAAATAAAACCAATCAAAATGTTTTTATTTTTGCTACAGTAGCTTTCAAGCTCATGCAGGCTGCTAATAACTTGATGCAACCGATTATTATTTTCTCTCTCAGCTAAATGGAAGCATTCGCCACATCATAATGCTGCTCCTAACATATGATAGTGAACAAGAAAGGCAAAGCTATCCAATATTGAAATGGAAATATCAACATTCAAAATACATTCAGCTTAGAAAAGTGGCACATGTTTCACAGGGTTCATTGCTAAGCTTTAAGTGACTCAAACAATCCATCACCAAGTTCTTCCGTGGCAATAAAGGTATCGCCAAGCAGATCCAATTACTTTGACATTGATCCAGAGATCCATCAAGCCCCTGCACCCCCACCTGTGCGGACAGAAGATCAATCCAGGCTATCGTGTATCTCAAGCCTACTTGACAAGAGGATAGTGAAAAAGAGGGACTCTCAGATCTGAGATTAAAAGAGTGAAGTAGCAAGGTGACCTGAGGTTAAAAGAACTGTGAGCCTCAATTAGGGGAGTGATGAGGGAGGAAATCCAGACAAAACTGCCTGAGTTAAGATGCCAAGGGATGAGGTTGCAAAACACCTCTCTAGTGTATTCTACTAGCTTTATTGGATAATAACTCCAAAAACTGGAGAGGATCCAGTGATCTTTAATGGAGCAATACATACAAAGGTTCAAAAAATTCATATAACTACACATTTAATGGAGAGAAACGCTTTGTTACCAAGGGCTATTTTTACTGATTTCAATGGACTGTTGATCTGGAGCAGGTTTCCTCTATTAAGGTCCTCAAGGATCTGTGTCCTGCACCTTTTATATATGTGTCTGCTTTCACATCTCAAATGACTGAATAACTTCCTCAGCAAACAGTCAAGTGCTGTGTTCGAATCCTGCTGATGCATCCTGCGAAGGCCAGATTCGGCGACCATTTACGTGATCCATGGTCTCTTCAGATTAAAAGACCCCTTAATATGCAGCAGACAAAAGCAGCCTTTCTTTTGAAGGACAAGTCCCGTGTATCCTTTTAGCTTAGGGTATCCTGTGATTCATTGCTAGTCCAACCAAAACCGGCTACTCCATGCTCAAAGGAAAAAGGGAAATGGTGACGAAAAGTGGTGAATATTATAAGTGCAGTTTAATATAATATCAGAATATTCAGAATTTGAAGAGTTTAATCTTAAATTAATATAAATCGTTAATTAAAAGGGTTAGTGAGTCAGATATCTAGTGGTTAATGTTTGGTTTTTGGAAAGTTTTATCTGTCCCTGTGCAAATTGGTTTGGCTGAAATTTATGGACACATTCCAATATCTGTGCAGTTCACGAACTGCACAGATATTGGAATGAACCTGATAGATGCATTGACGGTACTGCTGCTGAAGCTCCTCATAAATGTAATTAGCACAGAGAATAGCAGTAAGAGGTTTGGCATCCATTTTTGTCTGCTTTGTGAGTCAACTGTCACTGTTGCCAGGTGTCAGATATTATGTTGAGTGAGGGGCCGTGGCATCCGCAGAAGGCTGGACCTGTTTGAATCTATAGCTGAACTCTTCCAGACTACTTATTTTCACGGCCTTCGAAGGACCTAGTCCAGGTAGGCTTCGTCATTTGTAAGATGCAGCCACTGAACCCTGATCTACAGCTACCTGGAGCTTCACATAAAGTTTACAGTAAAAAAAATTACTAAAGTGAAGATTTAGGTGACTGGTTTAATTTATTTCTAAAGTTAACATCCCAAATGGAAAAGGTAATTTTTTCCTAGCACAGAACATTTACAATTTAATATTAAAGCCTACAACTAACGATTCTATAACTGAACATTTGTTAATTTGTGTTAGGTGTTGTGGATTATAATATAGTTTAGGCATATTTTGTTATTTATGCAATTTGTTTGTTTACTATTTGCTAGGTGTATCCTGATTTATTTCTCTTGCCTTTTTATTTGAGTTTTTGTTGGTTTTGTCATTAATAATGCTAGCAGGATATGGTCTCTTGGTGTCTTTATTGTGATTTTCTCTATTAAATAATCTCTGCCTCAGCCAGAGCCTTTAGTTAATAGATTAATTTCACTTATGTTTCTGCATTGTGTGCCCCCGTGCCATACCTACAGCAGGCTCAAATATTTTTTAACAAGCGCTTCCTTACAAAATCTTTTGAAAATGGCTGACTGCCCTATGAAGCCTCACATGCAGCATCTATAGCACTGTCACTCACTAAGCAATGGGAAGATAAATCAGAACCAAATGTCTGTTAAATCATCATGAAGTAGCGACGACAAATAGGTATATACACTCTTTCTCTCCATATATGACATATTTGACCCAAATTAAAAATTTATTATGTGCTGTATTATCAAAAAGTTGTATCAAAACATGCATCATGTGTTCTAATGGTATCTTAGCTCTACAGCTAACATCTCTACTTCAAAATTAATGAATAAAATTAACAGAAGGAACAATAATTGAATTTTATGGAAGACAGGTGTGTTTAAAAACAAGGTGTTAAAGTTTTTGCATTTCAGGTAAAACGTTTACCAAAAAGCAAGTGTAGCATTAGTAACCAAATTCATTCAATTGTGGGTTTGCAGAGGATGATATAGGATATGCAGAAAACGCAAGTGAAAAATCAAGTGCACCATACTGCAGGTGCAGGGCGCTGCCATTTTTACTAATAATGCTACAAGTACAGACCAAAATTCTGTTCCCGAATGGAAGTCTGTTCCAATGGAAAATTATTGAAATCAAATTAAATTCACTTTTTTAGGGTTTAACTTTCTCATCCACCAGTGGTTAGAATTAGATCTTTACCTCAGAGGTGGTGATGAACCGAAAAATATAAAATAACCTTTAACTTTTAGGGCCACAAACCTTAAGCTTATGGTTTCTTACAAAACCTCTGTGTAAACTCTTTTGGATGATAGAAGTTAATTGGCAAAAAATCTTTACAATCTAGTAAACAACGCATATTGTTTAAAAATCTCTATAAACAGCAGTCAGGGGCCATGTGTGTTAAAAAAGCATCAAATCTAGAATTAAATAACAAATTTGATTTACCATGGGTTTTGAAATAAAAGAAATTGATGAAAACATTTTGAAATTTATCCAAATTAATGTATCGTGAAAGCGCAAAAGAGACTGCAGTATGCTGAACCTCATTGGTGACTGAATCCCAATTATACACAAAAGACTAAGACCACCCAATGCATTGTGACTTTGGTTCAATGCGAAGTGTAATCTTTTTGCAATCTTTACATTGTTGGTTCAATTCCAAAAAGGCATAAGCATTTGATTGGTACGTATGACTAGAAATGTTAAATGCAAAACTTCAGTCCATTTAGAGTCGCTTAACATGGTATTATTTTAGTCATGGCTCAGACTGGGTGTTAGTATAGGAAAATGAATGTCCCTAAATGAATAAAAAAATGTTGGTGGTAAAAATACAAACATTTGAGTCATTTGCAATTAATTTATATAAAAAGCTTCAAATACGTCTTTTCCTAAAGCCCTGTCAAATAGCATATTTGTAAATTACCTCCACAGGGCCTTTAAGCAACTGAAATGTATGTATTTGAAAGCTATATTTTAGGTTAGTCTAATCAATAAAGAAAGAAACAACCTGATAACCAAACCCTTAGATTTATGAGGCCTATAAGCTTGACAACTTTATCGCCTTACCTGCTTGAAAATCCATGTACTGAAGAAGATTGTTGAGAGAAATTGAGATGGAAATGGATGGTAAATGTTTGTTGGCTCTTGAAATGAGGATGATTATGTTTTGGGGATGATTTCCCTGGTGACAAAAACGTGATTACAAGACAGACTTGTGAATATGGAAGTCAATGCACAGATAATTGTTTACAAACAAAATGTTTAAAACATTAACAAATCACAATATAATCAACTTCACCTATGAAAGCAAAAAGGAAATACATTTTATCCCCTAAATATATATATATATATATAATGTATGTATATATGTGGGACAAAATATCGATTCATCCTACCTGAAAAAGAAAGTTCAAGCTTTACTTTTCAAAGCCAAGTGAATATGTTGATGTTGATGAAATGACATGGCAATGATAATGCTTTAATAGTTGACTAAAACCCCTAAAGGTCTCTTTATTATTCAATGACGAGCCAGACTCATACAAAAATAAAAAGACAAACTAAATTGCTTTTTTATCATCCTATTGCCTTCTTTTCAGAAAATGATCCACACACGTCTAATCACAAAAAAGTATAATACAAACTGGCCAGCACAATCCATCCACCCCCTCCCCACACCCCAAAACACACCAACATACCCCCCGTCCCCAGGACAGCCATACCTGCTTGTTTTTGAGGTCAAGCGAGAGTTCATAGTCAGAGGACGCAGAGTGCGAGCCGGCCCCGTTGCGTTGCACCCTCAGAGGCGAGGCTGTGTGGTGTAGACTGGCCCTTCTGCCTGTACCACCTGCTTTTGTTCCTCCCTCTTCTTCATTGTCTTCTCCCTGCGTTGCCTTGCCCTCACAGTTCTCACCCTGCGCCTCATCTTTATCAAGTATCGTCTCTGCCTCAGCGACCATTTCTGACTTGTGAAGCTCTGTCTCGACCACCATCTTCTCCTCATTGCAAGGAGAAGAGGCTTCAGGAACTTCCTGTGGCACAACATTGCTCAGGGACTCAACTTGAGGATGGGGATCAGGCTCTGTTGATGGCTCAGGTTCAGGTTTGGATTGAGGTTCCTCTTCTGGCTCCACCTCTGGTTCATTCTGGGGCTCTGGTTCTGGCTCAGGCTCATGTTGTGATAGCAGAGTCTGTGGCTCAGGATTTTGCTCAAGCTGTTGGGGCTGTAGTTGTGGTGGTTCTGGTTCTGGTTCCGGTTGTGACTGGTCCTCACCCTGCTGCTCACCCTCACCTCCCTTCCCTTCCTCTCCCAGAGATGAGTCCGGAGAAAGTTCATCGCTGCAGAAAGGAGGAGAAAACGCAGAGTGAGGTTGCTGCTGCATCCGTGGTGAGCTCTGACTTCTTCTTCAGGCTGCCTGGGTTTAGAGGTAAGAAGGTGACCTTTTTTGTGTGTTTGATCCCTCACTTGGCTACCAACTGTGTGCAGGACCAGCTCTGTCTATTGCTGTTCTGTTATGTTTTTTCTTGTCTGTCTAGACATTGACAGACAATGAAAATCAGCTAGAATATAAGGCATAGAGGAACTACTAAAACCACAGGGTATAGTACTGAAAAACAGCAAGTTAAAATTTATTCCAACAAAATTTACAGAGGAGCAAAGGTGGAAAAAAAAAACAAAGTTAGTTGACAGCCAATAGAGACACACGCCCACACACACTGAGACACAGGGGACAGTCATGCAGCTTATAAAATTTTTTTTTTTTTTAGGCATTTTGTGCATATTTGTGTAACTAAGGGCTTCTGTGTCTGTGTGAGGGGAAGTGGATATTTTGTGCTGAAAAGGTGTGGACAAATATTTCTAAAATAATTCTAGATCAAAATTAAGAAATCTTTTTTGTATACAAGAATAAAGGAATAGGTTTGTAATATATATTCATTCTAGAACATTTTGACCAATGTATATATTGCCTTTCTTATGCTTTTAAATTTCTAAATTGGTTGTAATCGAAAAAAATTATTAAAATGTTGCCTTTTTTCTTAGCTTACTTTAAGCTACGTTAGCAGCTAGTGGTTAACCGAAACCAATATTTTCACAGTGCATGTCTGTAGCCTAATTCTTTTTACCTTTCTGTCCAGTACCCACTAAAAACCAACTTCAACAATTTAAACCTATAAAGTCTGATACACCTAACAAATAATGTACACATTAGAAATTAGTGTTACGCCGGTGACATTTTTTGGCCCCGATACCTGGCTGTGCAGTTTTGGCCGATACCGATACCATAACAATACCATCTGTTTGAAATTGATGCGTGTGTGTGTATATATGAAGAACTGCATACTACTTGGATGTATAAATGGGTGACAATAGTTGAATAAACTTTTGGCTCTCAAAATGGTATTTGTGCCTTATTTGTTAGTACTTGCCGATACCAATACCACCATTTTAGTGCTAGATTGGGGCCCCACCCAATATTGGTATTGGTGCAACACTTAGAAATTGAACTGTTAATTCAATGTTTTTGACAAGATATCTAACATCATTAATAAGTTATTACATTCATACATTATATATTAGCTGTACAAATGAAAAGTAAGGTGCAAACTTTACAAACTTCTGTGTAAATAAACTCTTAAATGGTTATAAAAGTGTTTAAAGATTTTGGTCTAAAAATTCAATTTTTGAATCTATTAAATAACATATTCTGAACTGAAAAATGCGTAAACACTTGGGATGCACGATCCACTTTTTTCCACCTCCGATACCATACTGATATTAGAAGTTTAATGTTGGCCGATACAGATCCGATACCAAAAACAGCACTGAATCATTACCTAAAAAATGGTTTTATTGTGTTAAAAAAAAAAAACTGGGATCATTCTTCTGTGCACATGATTTGATTTCCCCTTTCTTAAAAAAAAATAGGAAACAACCCAGATATAAATGTTGTGACTCATTTATTTAACAACTGTGCAAAAAATCTCAAACCATAAGTTCTCATACTTGGTCAACATGTAAAACAAAGTGTCATTATCATTATCAAGTATCATCTCTGTGATTTTTCTGGCCAGTATACTGTTAAATGGAAAAATTTCACTTCTTTCCTTTGCTTCCATCAAAGTTAGCTGCTTCCTGCTGCTTCCTTTTTGTTTGCTGAGTTCGATAATCTCAGCATGTTCCTTGTTATGAAACTTCTGGAGGTGTTTCATTAAGATGGTGGTGTAATAGTTTGAAGATTTAAAAACACCCTTCGGAACATTTCTCTCTAAAATATTGCACACCATTGGGCAAGTAGGCTGATAGAGCGGGAAAAACCACCCTGCAGATCCTTTCGCTCGCTCCATCATAAACAATATGGCTGTGTTGTGTTGTTGCGCTGCCGCATCACGACAGAGAATGTCATAGAGTTAGAATGAATAGATCGGCCCCTATATCCAGTCAATTGTCACCCATACCGAGCGAACACCATACAATTTCATTTTAAATAATGTTACTTCATGTACCTTTCCAAGCAAGACACTTTCCACTTAATGAAAACACCATCCTTAAATGTAAATTCAAACACGTTTTAAACCTTGTAATACTTGTCAGCTGATGTACCTAGATTCTCCACCAGAAAAACATATAAAGGACAAGATTTACCAAAGCAGACATTTAGGGAAAAGGCTTAAATGATGAGATAAATATTTCAAAAACAAATGTTTTAAAATTGTACATTAGGGTTTAAAGCCTCTGACGCTAAGTCAGAGCTTTTGAAACAAGTGCTACCAGGCAACCTGTAAGCATATAACTACATCTAAACAATAGAACCATAAAACCTACTCCTTATTTTCAAAATGAAGATAAGAGTACCCCACAAAAACCAATAATAGAGAGTCATGGATATTATCTTGCTGACTGAGCTGCTGGTGAAAAGTAATCTTACACTGCACTGCTAAAGCAGTTTAAACGGCTTAAAAGTTAGGATTTTTCTTTGGAGGCAATAATGTACAACGTATTACTTTCAAAAAATGACAAGGTGCAGCCTTCAACTGCTGCAGTAACGGTTTAAATAGCTTAAACGAGTTTCGCAATTAGTTGTTTAAGTATGAAAACGTTTTAAAGTTTCCACATAACACACTTTAATGTTTTGAATATCTCAATATGATTTGTAAGAAATTAGATGTTTCCATAATGTTTAAACTTTTAATTACAGGTTTCATTATGAAAAATTCTGATTGTGATAATAGTTATTAAAAAAGGACCTTTTCATTTGTCATTGCTTTTTAGGTGCCATGACTGGAGATACATTTCTAGGATTTTGCCTATAACTATACAATATATTGCTTGGATATAGTGAGGATAACACTAAGGCTTTCACTAAAGACTAAGTATTCTTTCATCACACATAGGTATAAAGAGAAGGTATTAAGCTTATGGCTCTGTCTGGGACTTGAAAAATAGTTGTTGAAGGTAATAAATAATATAGCAGGTCTAATATCTGCTCTGTTCATATTCAATTCAGGGTAAGTGTTTCCCTGTGCAAAAAATAGACATGTCT